TAAGCGAGAGGGAGTAGAGAGTGAGAGGTACTCGCACCTGGAATCTGGACTTCAGGAAGACACTGAGTGACTTTTGGGCTTCCCCTCAAGAGGGAGACTTGATCGGAGGCTGCCATATCTGCATCGGATTGCTGCAAGTTGCTACTTTGGTCTTCAGGCATCGACGGGGGATCTGGCTTTGCAACAGGGGTGTAGGGAGGCCCTCTTAGTCATGCTAGGACACTTCGTGTAGTGGTAGCTAGGGGTCAGGAGGACTTATATGAGAGGGGAGTGACTCGTTATCCATCTTTGGAGGCCGGGCCTCACAGGTAAGTGCCGTGTGACCGGGGTAAGCCCGTGGGAGGGTGCTTGGTGCTTCATGGCCTGTTGGGGGTGTGCTGGGTTCTCTTCCTCTTCTCTGCGGTCTTGGTTGTGGATTGCTTTCTCACCTGATGGATGGATGGATGATGTATCTACTCCAAATGACATACCTTTCTACGGTGCATTGTCTTTTCATTTCTGAACGGCTGTAGAAGTTCTTGCTGAAAGTTGTCTTTCCTTTCCAGTACAGTAGAGGCAGTTTGGGACCGACTTGGTACCCTTATCACGTTGGTCCTGGTCCACGGCCTACTTGGGACCACTCGGGACCCAGTGGGACCAGGCCCAACGGGACAGGACCTTTTGGGCCCAGATCTGTTGCCGCCAGTGCATTTCTTTGCTGTGCTGGATTTGGGGGACATACGGACAACAAGGGCATTCCTTTCAAGGGGATCTTGACTGGCCTTACCGCATGTTAGCACATACTGCCCCGCGTCTGACTCGGCGACCATCTGCACCCTCGAAATCTCCATTGCTGCAGATTAGTCTTCTTCGTCTGATTTATTGTGATGCATGTCCCTTGTCAGGTTAGACAAGAGGGGATCTCCAGCTGATCTGATCGGGCCCGTTCTATAACTCAGACCTCTCTGCTGTTTTTTTTTTTATTATTATTATTATTATTTATTATTATTATTATTATTCTGCTGCGTGCCACGCTCTAAGTCCAAATGATTCGCCGCTCCGGCTAGGAGTTCTACCTTCGTCTCTGAGTGGTTTTCTGTTTGTTTCTTTTATCTGAACTATCTATGTCCGGTATCGAGACGCGTGCGCAGACAGCGAAAAGAGAGGAAAGGGAGAGAGAAGGTGTGCTGTTTGAGAGTGTGAGAAGGGGCAAGAGGAGTGTTCGTCCAAACGCAAGGAGAGAGCAGACCCGTGTTGAGAGATCTACTGACACCACTTCCTCCGGCATGGCAGACATCACATCTGTCCAATGGCAGGCCATGCTGGACGCAGCAGACGAGAGCCAAAAACCGTTCTTTCAAAAGTTGTATGATGATGCCGTACAGAAGGAAAGGGAGGCAGAAGCAGCAGCTAGAGCTACAAGTATAGCTGCCCAGGAGGCCCTCCTACAGGTCCCGGAAGCCAATGCTGACCAGTTCCTGGAGGGGCTAGCTGCTGCCGTCACAGCCTTGGTTCGACTGCGGAACTTGGAAGGTCTCGAGGCCCGCGTAACAGCACTTGAGCAGCGGAACCAAGAGCTGCAGGCTAAGGTAATTAGCCTTGAACAGTCCCAGCTGTCTGCCCCCCGCCTTCCTAACCCTTGGTCTGCTGTAGTCCCGGTCTCTCAATCAAACACAGCCCTCATAGTAAGATCAAGTGGAACCATGGCAAGCGCAGGAACCAGTGCCAGCTCCTCGAGCGGCAGCACCGGCAGTTCTGCGCTGGTCATGGTCCCAAATGCAGGGACTTCAGCCCAAAACCCACTGTATAAAGGAAAAACAAAAGGAAAGCCGACTGATGATGCAACGTACAAGGAAACCCGTCAACATATGTCCTTCGGCCTCTGGTATCAATGCTTGATGGCAGAAACCGATACAGAGGCATAGGCCGAATTTAAATTTAAAAGGCCACGGCCTCTAGTGCCAATGCCCGATGATGGCAGAAACCAATATAGAGGCATACGGCCAATTTTAAATTTAAAAGGCCACGGGGTGGTCAAGTAAAGCAGTTTACTTGACCCCTCTGCATAAAGGCCAACCTCCCTGATCCCACCTGACAATATGCCCTCCCCTCTCTGGGGGAACCCCCAAAAAAAATTGCACCTTCAAAGTTTTATTGCGGATTTGGACAGATCTCGAAGAGCGGAGTCCAAATCCACCGAAAAAAAAAAAAAAAAAAACCCGAAAAATCCTGGGCATTTTTTTCAAAAACTGGTTTTCCGGTTCAGCCCCCCTGGGCTGGTCCGAAGCCGGGTGGACCGGGGGAGGTGAACCTGCCGGTTGCCGGCCCAGCTTGGTTCGAATAGTTGTATGGTTGATAGTACAGTTAATACTTTATATAGATCGAGTGATTGGTGGTTGTGTATAAGTATTCGCTAGATAGGTTCTGGCAAGAAGAAGAAGGAGAAGAAGAAGAAGAAGAAGAAGAAGAAGGTTCTGGCCTTCGTGCTTCGTAGTGATGGAGGCTATGACAGAGTAGGTGGTTCTAGTCGTGGAGAGAAGAGGGTTTTGTGATTGGATTTGGTTAGACTACCACTACCTTTTACAAGTGAACTCGAAACACCAAAATATGGTATTCCGCAAACTTTGGAGGCCAGGTGCTACCAGACCAAAATGGCGGGTGGGGCCAACCAAAAACGAAAAAAAAAATCATGCTGGGGATTCAGCAAAGCTTGGCGCACAGGCCTTTTCTGCCTCGGCAAAAAGAGGCTTAGAGGTAGTCGGGGCTTAACTTGGGGACAGCTTTGTAGATTGTCGCCTGGTGAGCTAGGTGTGGGAACAGTGATCTTGCTGCGATGGGAGTAGCTTTGGGGGAAGGGGTTGGCCGATGTTTGCCTTGCTCTTTGATCCCTTGGTGATTTCTGTCTTGCTCAATTTTGGGATGTTGGGCCCCTTTCCTGCTACGCCTCGCTCCCCGCTAATAGACTGGAGCTCTGTCTTCTGCAAAAAAAAAAAAAAAAGGAAACTGAAAAGACAAAAAAGAGTTCTTTTTTTAGTTTTTTTTTTTGAGCTTTTGTTTTTTGTTTTTCGTTTCTTTTTGAAGTCCAGGTTGTTGTAGAGGTTGGAAGCCAGACTATGACAGTCACCTTCGGTAGTCGGCCATTAGGTTATCCTCATGGTCTAGAGAGGGCCCCATTCCTTATGAGACTCCCTCCCGCCACCGACTCTCATCATTTGTCCCTTGTGCACCCCTACTCCCACAATCCTACCTCGGTGTCGACCACTCAGGATTGTCACCCTCCTGTCGTCTCAAGGGGGGTGACCCGACAGGACAGTGGTTGTAGGCACAAGGGCTAAGCAGGAGCTACCCAGCTCAGTCCTGACTGAAGCACAGTTGGACGTTCCTGTCATATGGGTACTTCGAGCGCTAGGCATGAACATTCTTCTACAGGCTGAATAGGTGGACCCATTCCTATCCCCGCACCCCAGGGTGCTGTTGTATTGCTAGGTATGCAAGGAATATGAGCGAGAGTGATAGACAGAAATCCAAATTGCAAAATCACAAAGTAGCGCAGATGGTCGTACACCAAGCAGAAAGCACAATGCACTGAGATACAGCCAATAAGAGCAATACAATGAACTCAAATGTTGACGTCGACACTTTCTCGCGACATCAACATAGTATCTAATGTCGCTCTTCCTGATTGGCGCTCAGCACCCAGCCTATCCTACTCAGCCTACTCTAGCCTACACTACGTTCATGCAACAGGACCAGTGTATGTGACGACGTCGCCCATGCAGACTGCCAGCATACACCAGGTGCGTATCTCTCTTCTCTCGCCTCACCCGGCGACTTCCCACAGTGTGCATCCCCGACATCTGAAGACCATCACCGTCACCCTCTCTGTGCCCAGCAGCCCGGCTATGGCCGCCGTGGGCCCGCTGCCTCAGCAGCACCCGGGAGGACGACAGTACAACATAGAAGTTCTCTCTATGGCATTCATGGGAAGGAGACTACAACTACAGCCTGCCCCACATAATCACGTGCCGGGCATGGATCCAAATATTTGTGCATACATCCTACATCGTCCAGGTCATTTCAGGGCTGTTACCTTTGTGGATAATTCATGGACTCTATGGGACAATGGCGGTAGGGTGCACACGGTGGGAAACATTAACTCTGTCTCTGTCTATCACCAAGCAGTAGAACATCACTCTGTCTGGTGCATCCATCGATAACAGTATGCCGCAGGAGAGCAATCCAGCTGAACCACCTCGTTCCCCTCGTTCCCTGTGCATGGCCAGGCAGAGAGTCCTCCCTGTGTAGATCGGACGGATTCTGCCATGGACAGTGAAGGGGCCCCTCCAGAGGACGACGGCTGTGCCATCCCTTTCTGCCGTCATAAACATCGGTTCGGTTAGCATGCACACGACATAGTCTTTGCTCTGAACACTATGAAGGGATCTTCACTGCCAGCCTCTGCCGCGAAAACTGTAATCCTATCCTCAGTTCCTGTGACGAGAAATTGGAGCAAGAGAGGCACTTACCTGGCCTTACCTCATGATGCTCCCATGAGAAGGGGAACAGCAGGTTGCTTCTGAAGGCTGGTATTGCCCGCATTGCATTGACCGGTGTGCTTCTTCATTGTGCCAGACTGATATTGCGTTGGGGAGCGACTTCGCATATTTGCGAGCGGTGTTGGTTGGGAAGAGAGATAGTGGCTTCATCATTGGTAAAGGGCTGGGGCGATGATTGCGGAGGTGGCGATAGGTGGGATGGAGTGTCCATAGATCAAAGGGGAAATGCGAGAAAAGACCTTGTATCAATTGACTAGTATTTTGAGTTTGTCCTCCTCTTCGTACTTGTGGTCTTCCTTTGACATGACACTGGTCAGCTCGCCTACCTCGTTGCGAATGTCATTCAGTGAGCATTGTAAGTTTCATGCATGATGTTGATGGTACGAGCTTCTTGGAGTTGGGTTGCATTACATATATAAGAAGATTACTAATTTCTTTGTTGCTGCTAACATGTTGCTGTTGCAGGTCAAACCTTTTCAGGCTTTTCCACTTTGGGCTTCTTCAAAGGACATTGAGAGTTGAGGTGTATGAAGCTGCACAGGTATGACTGGCGACGTCCTATGATTGTTGCCTACAGTGAAAAGTAGTGCGGAAATCTCGAGCAAAACAGGCTTAAGATGATCATTACAGCAGCGAGCGGTGTGGAGGGGAGGACAATGAATTACGAATCGCATTGTCCAGCAACAACAGACACAATGCTGAAGTGTTGCTCAATGACAGCAACACCAACAACCCCACTACCTCCTCCGTCTCCCAACCCTCTTGCAGCAGCTGTTGAGAGCCTTTCTCGCCGTTTTGATGAGATGCAGCTTCGGCAGACCCAGCGGGAACTCAGACTTCAAGAGCAGATAACAAAGTTGGTGGCAACACACAATATCCCAGTCGGAACCAAGAACCATTTGCAATCTCCAAGTCCACCACCACCACCACCACCACCCCCGGCAGGTGCAGCACCCCCACCACCACCAACCCCTCCACCTCCACCTCCTCCTCCGCCTCCGCCTCCGCCTCCGCCTCCTCACCACCATCACCATCATCATCAGCCTCAGCATCAACACCAGCAGCACCAGATTCCCATGGAGCCATCGAGACCGGAACCTTTTCGTGGAACAACCGATGCAGCTCATATTCACCGCTGGCTCTACGAGATGCAGCAGTACCTTCAACTTTGTCGCGTCCCTGATGACCTGTGGGTGAATCTTGCTGCTACTCAGCTCCGGGATTACGCTGCCTCCTGGTGGCAGGACCTGTCTTCCAAAACCTTCGGGAACTCCGGTATCGCCATCTCTAACTGGCGGTCCTTCAAGGATGCGCTCCTCTCCCAATTCCAGCCGGTGAACATGCACCTCACCGCCCGAGATAAGTTGTTCGCGATGCGCCAGCACAGGTCTGTAAAGGATTATGCAGCTGCCATGCGCAACCTCTTCGTTTACACCTCTGACATGTCCGAATCTGACCGTGTATATCTTTTTATGCGGGGGCTTAAGCCCCATCTATTTCGTGAGGTCCGGCTCAAGGCCCCCACGTCCTTCGATTTGGCAGTGGAGCTAGCAGATAGACTGGATCAGCTAGGAGCAGGCGGTGGCAACCATGGGGGGGGGAGAGGGAGAATGTCCACTCCACCTCAAAACATGTCATGGGCATCTGCCCTATCCGCTTCGTCACCAGGACCGTCCCCGTCGTCCTCGACGTCGACCTCGTCCCAGTCTTCCTACCCAATGGCGTCTCCATGCTCCGCCACTCCTCATCAGAACTCTTTGTCCAGCAGAGCCTGTGCAACCGTGCCTTCCGAGTCTACGCCTAATGCACATTCTACCAAGCTGCCAGATGACCCGTTCAACATGTCCGGTACCCCTTCGTTACCATCTCCTTCCTCTTCCTCTTCCTCGTCTACCCCATCTTCATGCTCCTCCTCCTCCTCCTCCTCTTCAATTGATATACCAACCACCATAGCCATCATGTCATCCTACCGTTGTTTGACTGATCCTGAGCGTCAGGAATGTCTTAGCAAGAACTTATGCTTCGTATGCAAGAAGAGGGGGCATGTCGCACGGATGTGCCCCACCCGATCTCGCTCCCCTGAGAATGCCTCAACACCCCTCTTGGGAAATCGCCCATGTGTTTGACTACTGAACCTATGTCAACGCACCCGTTCCGTCCATAGCAGGCCTCCTACTCCTCGGCGCATTCACTCACAATTCCCCCTCCCTTCTCCTCTGCGCTCTCCTCCTGCCTCCCTTCTTCCTCCTCCCTCAGCTCCTCTTCTATCTCCTCCCCTCCCCATCCTCTGTATGCCGTCGTCGCCTCTCTCTTCTCCACTGTGTCTTCATCTGCTCACTTTGAACACTTGCACATCGTATCCTTCGCGAGAGTAAAGCCTCGTATGATGTGCATTTCTTATTCTACTTGAAGTGTGCTTTTCATCCCTTGTCTTTTGATCGACCTTCGCTTCCCTCCTCCTCCTCCTCCTCCTTCTCCTTCTTGTATTTGGGCCAACAAAGTGAGTTTCGTGTGTTTTCGTGAAGAGTAAGGAACGACTTTGTCGACCTCCATTTGTTCAGAGTCAGTGGGCCATGATCCGCCTGTTCCTTGCAAAGTGGAAACACGAGTGTATCATCAATTGATTCCATCAGTCGAGTTCCTGCAGAATGCCTGCACTCTTCATTGTGTACTCTTAATGTGCATACGCGGCACTGTAGGTGTGCTGACCAAATTTTGCTCTTTTGCCAGTTGCGGTCATTAAGTCAAGGGTGATCTCTGTCCTTCGTGACATCCGTTAAAATTGGAACGATACACAGAATGAAGATTAGCATGGCCCCTGCGCAAGGATGACACGCATACATCGAGAAATGGTCCAATTTTTTTATTTCTTTTATTAAGTCAAGGCCCAAGGGTGATCTCCTCCTCCTCCCAACCATTCGTTCTGTCTTCTTCAACAGGTTTGGTAACCACAGTTAGGTGGTACGCTTATCCGACTTCGACTAATCCAGGTGGATAAGTGTATTATTTCTCTTTAGGCGTTCTCCATCCGACTTCCCTCGACAGTGACTCACTGGATTAGAGAAATAGTACGCGCAGGGTCGTTGTCGGGTCGTCGTCAGTTTTACTCGATGCCTATGACAATGTGGCGCCCGAGTGAGTTGTGAGCAGGAGCCTTGTTGGCGAGGAGTTTTTTGCAATCTCAGCTAAATGCGGGCTCAACGCTCATCTCCGCTGCCGATTCACGTGTCAACCAAATCGGGCATCTTCCCTGCCTATTCATGTGTTGAGCAAATCAAGCTTGCATGGTAGCACAGCGTAAGAGATCTCACTTTCTCTGAAATGAAGTTGAGCGAAGTTGTCGCAAACGAGATTTCCAGCAGGGCTGTGCTATAACAATGCCGCGTTTTCCAAATGTTTGTCCCAAGAAAAAAGAAAAAAAGAAAAAAAAAAGAGGATTGTAGTATGGATTTGCCACCTTGTCTCCCATCAATCGCATTGATACCGGTACATCACAAACTGCTGAAGAGGAATCCTCAACGAGGTAGACGGTGGAGAACGTCTCTACAATCTCCCTGTGGAGATTTTCTGAGGTGCACCCTGATTTCGTTGGGCGACCCACAGTATGACAAAGAAAGCGTCCTGCCTCTTCTTTTGTTTTTGTTTTCAATCCCTCTTTCTTTCTTGCATTCTTTTTTTTTTTTTGGACCATTTCTCGATTTATGCATGTTATCCCCTTCGCAGGGGTCTTGCTGATCTTCTCTGTATTGTTCCAATTTTAACGGAATTCTCGGTTTATGCATGTCATCCTTGCGCAATGGCCTGCCTCTTCTTTTTCTCTTGTTGCGCCTAATTTGAACGTCAAGCCATGACAGACACTCCAAGACAATGGTTAAGAACTATCGACGACCCTCTTCCCTGAATGAAATGTACGGTCATTATCGCTGCATCTGGACTGAAAGTTGCTCCAAATACAGCTATAGACCGTATGTTCTAATCCGGGGAAGACGGTACTGATCTAGTTATTGCCAAAATGAGCCCTCAGTTCAACTGTTGCTTCTGTCCGCCTCCACTTGATGTCACGTTGGATCCGATTTAACCATTTTTGGCTTAATTTTCCTGATCTCTTTTTCATTATTGATTCCTGTGTTTTCCCTCGAAGCATGCACAGTCCTAACCCTAAACCAAACTAGAGTAACCTTCGGTCAGTTATGTTGTGCCTGCGCAGTTCTATAACCAAACCTGCGCAGTGTTAACCCGACCGGGGTTTGAAGGGGGCGAGGAGGAACAGGAGAGGAAAGGGAGGTGGGTAGTTATGGGAAGGATTTGTAGGGGGGGGGGGGGGGGGGTGAAGGAGTTGGGGGGAGTGAATGCGAATAATGATTCAACAAGGATCATTATGGATGACATTGATTGTATGTGTGCAGCAGGACGTCTTTCTCAAGTCTCGAGGAGTTTGAATTTCGGACTAGTTCTCCGTTTGATGCAGTCACCAGCATCCACTACCTTGATCGCAAAGACGAATGTGAAAGATGAGTCCCCGATTAACCCATTTATCGCTCACTGGGCGTGTTAGCAGGCCGAAAGACTGACGATTTGAGGCTTTAACACTTGTATTCCTTCCGGCCTAAGCAGATCACGGGGTAACCAGACGGTAAGTTCCCCTAACCGTGGTAACTGCATCTTCGATTGCTACTACCTTAACTATGGTCAGAGTATATATTTACCTTAAGAAGAAGTGAGACACATCTTATACGAAATTATCGGTCCAAGTCGTAGACATAGGTGGATTGAAAAACTGTCACTGGAAGGGGTTCCTGCTCGAACTCGGATCGCATAAGCTGTTGGTTTCATCAGCATGGCTGGCCCAACCAGTTTTCAGCAGAGGGACCTGATTTTCTGATCGATCGGTACTGCTGCTGCCCAAACTGGTTTGCAAAACATCCCCCATTAAAACCCCGCTGCAGACCGACCGATGTCCATGGCACATATATTTGTGGGCCCACCGAGTCATGTCCATGAAACGTAGTGTTGGCCCGACTGATGTCCATGGGACATATTGTTGGCCCAGTGGAACTAACTGATTCATGACCATGGAAAATAATGTAGGTCCAACTGAAGTCCATGGGACATTGTTTGCCCAGGGGAACCCATTGATTCATGTCCATGGAACATAGTGTTGCCCCACGTGACGTCCACGTGAGTTACCGTTGATCGGGACCCACGCATTCATGTCCCATTCATGTCCCAGGAACGTAGTGTTACGCCACCTGATGTCCATGGGACATCTATTTGTTGGCTCAATGATGCATGCCCATGGAACCTATCGTTGGCCCAGCTGATGTCCTTGGGACAGATTGTTGGCCCACTGATGCATGCCCATGGGACATAGCATTGGTCCACTCATACCTGTATACGCGGGATGCGGTGTTGTCCCACCGACGCATGAAGGAAGACAAAGTGAATTTGGACATTTCATTTTTTTGACAGAAGATCACGGTAACCAGAGGAGGGTGAATTTCCCTAACCGCGGTAACTGTACCTTTCATTGCCAGTCCCTTAACTATGGTGACTTTGGACATTTCATTTTTTTGACAGAAGATCACGGTAACCAGAGGAGGGTGAATTTCCCTAACCGCGGTAACTGTACCTTTCATTGCCAGTCCCTTAACTATGGTGACTTTGGACATTTCATTTTTTTGACAGAAGATCACGGTAACCAGAGGGTGAATTTACCGCGGTTATGGTGAATTTCCTTCTAACCGCGGTAACTGTAACTTTCATTGCCAGTCCCTTAACTATGGTGACTTTGGACATTTCATTTTTTTGACAGAAGATCACGGTAACCAGAGGAGGGTGAATTTCCCTAACCGCGGTAACTGTACCTTTCATTGCCAGTCCCTTAACTATGGTCATTCTGACAAGCATGTCAAGCAGTCAGCGGCGCTAACAATCGTCCTCATGGAGGCAATATCTTAAAATAATGTATGTCATCACGACACGAGGATCCGCATGGTAGATGAAACGGCTCGGGAAAGTCTCTCTGATGCCTGCCTGGGTATCTATGAAGGCGTCACTTATGCTCCACTCAAAGATTTAGTAGGTTGGGTAGCCTTTGCAGTGGCTGAACGACATGATTCTCTAAGTCAGAGAGTAACGACTTAAACTCTGCATATCACGCGGTGCGCACGCTCTTCCTCGTGAACAGTCACACATATGCCAGGTCGCCAGATGGCAGGTCACGTCTCCATTAAGCACGAGTCCCACAGCCTGCAAGCACTTATCCATGAGCTGCAGGTAACTTGATGGTGCAAAATCTGCAAATGTGATGCGAACACACGAGGACTTCCTGGCCAGTGGACATGGCCCTTGCGGCAAACTACTGTGCGCTTTCATACTTAAGGTCCGTCTTAAAGCACCAGTACACCACACATTGGCCCGCGGGTGTCAGCACGAAACCCGCACCACTTCGGAGGCCGCCGATTTCTTTTTTCAACAGCGCCCCACGCCACGCGGCTCCTCTGAGTTTTGCTTGTGGCGACAGAAAACTTTCTGCAAGGCTGGGGCCGTGTACTTGCAGTTTACTGCCCAACATACCACTCAGCAATTGTTGTCTGTCTGCCTCGTCAACTTTCTCATGCTGCGATTATGACCTGCTGCCCGGTGAACATGTTTGATTGCCACCATGGCTATAGTGTTTGTTTACAATTTTTTTTTTTTAATGTTCTGCGGTTCTGATCATATCTTGCAAAACGCACCATCCGCCTTGCGCTGACCTTGTTACCTTAGAGTAAAATTTGGTCTTCCCTCTCTGTGAGGGCACATGTCAGTAAGCCTGTCAGTGACTGCCAACTCGCTCGTCTCGGAGTCAGATGACCTCTGAAACGCCCACGTGACCACGTCGTCGGCAACCTTGGTTTAGCCGCGGAGCAACGACTAGCACGTTGACTGTACGCACAGGCCAGAGGAAAACGCCAGAGATGAGCACGCGGCACAAGTTGTAGTGTGCCCCCTGTGCATTGACAGATAGATACCTCAAGAGTTCAAAGTTGAACCGCGAAAGTGTAACCCCCCCCATAGCAGTTTCATTCCAGCTTGATGGAAGTACCCGCAACTTCTTTCTGGTTGCAAGTCCTGGTCTCACACTAATCATTCGGGCCACGATGTCGGATGATGTAGCGGACTGCCATGAGGAGACCATCAACTCATCAAGGCATATTACGGGAAAGCATGCCGGTACTTTAGGTTCCAGAAAAGAGCGCCTGAAGGGTGTTTGATACACAGATATGTTTCTCAGTCCCACAGTTCTGTATGTGTGACACGCATACAACTATGGCACACACACACACACACACACACACACACACACACACACACATATGCGACAGAAAGACACATACGACATGACTGT